GAATCTTGATGTTAACCTAAAAAAATAATTGACCTTGTGAATGTGCAACAATGATGAACTCTTAGAAGGTGAAGCTAAGCTTGAATATATCATTTTCGAGTACTTGTACAAACATCGCCATGGAATCCATTGGTTGCAAAATTCCATCAATCAAGTTAAAAGAATTAGAATTGATTTTTGATAGATTACACTTTTGGTCGCTCAAACTTCAATTTCTTGCAATTGGATCACTTTATCTTTGATTTTGATGTAGAATACATCGCCCCCGGCCTCTAGTTTTATTGCTAACATTAATATTATACATGACCATTTTTTGTAAATATTCTGAGACTTACGTCCTTTTTAGCAGTGTTGTAAAAAGCAGCGTCTAGACATTGCCTAAGTGCAGGCAAGCGCAAAATGCCCCACCTCCCTCTTTTTCGCGTTTTTATTATTATTGTTATTGTTGTTGTTGCTTTTCTTATTTCTTATTTATTCTTTGTGTCTAGGTACTTTTTTTTTCAATATAGTTTTATAATTTTATATGTTAGGTATGAATTATTTTTATTATTAAATAATTTTTCGATTGATTAAAATTTTTAAATATATTAATAAGACAATTTTTTTATGCCTAGGCTTGCCTAGTAAGAAACCTAGTCTTCACGTTTTACGTTTTTTAAAACACTATTTTTTAGTAATAAACTCGACAAAATGATCTACTTTGCATCAAAATTGAGGATGAATAGCTTGATTGCAATAAACTGAAATTTATTGACCAGTTGAGATTTTGATGAAAATTGTGGTTAGTGAATTTATTCTAGAGATTGCTTTCTACATTATAAAGTATATTAGATATCCGAATGGGCAAAAACTCTCTCGAGTATTGTACGAGAAAAGTATAGTATTTAGATGATTACGTGTGTGAACTTGAGTCTAATGGTTAAGTTCGCTCAGATGTTGCTATCAAAACCTTGTCCGATTATTTTGTTTTGTTTCTTCTAAAGGATTTACTCTCGATCGTCTGAGTGCGAAGTAAAATATAATCAAAATTACGATCTTCTTATTTTTCACGATATAGTCTTATCGATCAAGACGTTTGATGATGAGTCACCATATTTGGTTTCCCCTCCACTAAATCTTACATGATGATTGTCCCCACACGAATGAGTAATATTAAGTTCCGATGTTTAAATGATTAAAGTAGTTCACACTTTCGATTGTTGGGCCTAGAATTATTCTTGTTTTAGATGTTTGGTTTTTGCACTTGCCATTTTCTTTTTATTTGGAAAGCAACTTTTTAAAGTATATAATTAATTAATTAATTAATTTCAAGGTGAGATTTGCGGTTTGTTTAAGAGTTAGTTGCTTTTGTCTCCATGAAATTAATTACTTCCTCCGTCCCAATTATATAGACTGGGTTTTCATTTTTCTCTTGTTCCAAATATATAGTCATGTTCTCTAATCTAGAATATTTTGTTGTCTTTCTTTACCAATATACCCTTATTAAATTTTCCCAACTTAATATGTCAACTTTTTGAGATCATCCAAATACACACATTTCCCACTTTTTGAAAACATGGAAGAACTCTCATTTCTTCTTCTTCTTCAAATTATTTACATGTTGAAAATTAAATAGGGATAAACTAGGAAAGATTTGACAAAAATTAATTTTCCAATGACATTAAAGAAATTTTCTTAATCTGTGTAAAAAAGGGAAACAAATCTATATAATTGAGACTGAGTGAGTAATAATTATGACTTAGTAGAGACATAAAGATAATAGAGTTATAAAAACTCAAAGTTGATTACCATCCCATCAAGTTTATTTTGCCATCAAAGTTAGTTTAACTTCGAAGTTAATGATTTGCTTGATTATTAAATACAAGTGGGTCTTATTCTAATTTTGTTGGTAACCTTTTTTTTTTTTTTTTTAAAATAACTTTTCTTGATTCATCATTTTGTTTAGCATTTCATATTAGGTACATTTGATCTTTGTATATTCCATCATTTCAATTTTGGTCCAAAAAATAATTCTAATTCAAAAGTAGCATCGTTTCCGCATGAAAATTGTTTTTGAACTGTTACATCTATAAGTTTAAGATATTAAATAAAATCATACGTATATCATTCAAATAGTTTTTAAAAAAACCTTACATGTAGGTGACGATTAATTTTAAAATAATCGCTACTAATATTAAATTTAGTTTACTTTTTTTTCAGATGTCATATTTTAGATATATCTATATTAATTTTAAAACCGAACAAATCAAATCGTGTCACGGATAATGTAGATCAAGTTGTTATTTCTTTGAGTACAACTTCACCATGTTAAAAGGTGCTTATAGGAATCATTGAAAGCTTTAAGTTTAGAAATATTATTTAAAAATTGTTGAAGAATGAGAAGTGTCTTCCAAAAATATGATTCAATGCTTGTTTGAGAATGATTAAAATCCAATTAAAATTGAAAATATAGCCGTTATTGGGTCCCACCCGTCTAATAAAAGTCAACTACAACGACTATATTTTTAATTTTAATCTGATTTTAATCCCTCTCAGACAGCTTTAAATTTTCTTTTGAAATGAAAGAAAGTTGACCAACTCTTTTGACTATCAAAAGAGAAGAGAATGCAACATTTGACTAAAATAATCGTTCACAAAAACTGTCACATATATAACTAATTAACTACTGCTCTTTTTATTGGTTTTCTTAAGGTTCGAAATCGTCAAATCGAGGAATTATTTTTTAAAAAAATACCACACGAGTGTACTACGTAGGCGTAATTAAGAGAGAGAGAGAGAGAGAGAGAGAGAGAGAGAGAGAGTAATTTTGATTATTCAAATTGCATTATTTACATTAATAGACCTACATAAATATTCCAACCTTCTGGTCATAAACACGTGTCAGAAAATCTGGAATTCACGGGATATGGCTTCTTATTTTTATTGCTCCAAATAATGATAAATAAATGCTATTAACCATTCAGATTTTAGCTCTATAATAATTTTGAGGTTACCGCAATTCACGATGTCAACCAAATAAATAGATACATACTCATACTTTGGAGAGAAGTAACTTTAACATTTAAAACCTTAAAATTTCTACCATACCTTTTGAAATAAACGATCCTCACTCAAATCTTTTTTTGTCGCCGTTTGAGTCCCGTTCTTTTAGAAAAATAAAATTTGACAGTACATTCTTCTAATAAAGTAGCTTTATATGTAAATCAAAAATTTTTATTATTATTTTACCATATATTATTCAGAAAATCTGTATTACAAAATATCATTTAAAAAAAAACAATAGGCTGCAAATAAGCAACTATAATCCGTTGCCTATTGGGGACATGAAAAAAAATCTCACTGTTGATGGGGCAAAAGAACCTCATGGTTCTTTGCAGAAATTTTTTATTTAGTTCTCGGAACAGGAGATCAATTTCACTCAAACAAGATGTTCGTATTTACTACACTTTTTCTTTAAATATTATTTCATTATATACTAGTGATTGCACTAACCGAGTAATATACATTTTTTTTTCAGTTTGATGGGGCCTAGGAGAGGACGAACACCTTCTATCCTCAAGACTCGACCAAAGTAAGCTAGGCTTACGGTGGCTAGATAATTGCTCAAGCTCTCGAGACATTGAAAATGATCCCATAGAGATGTGCTTCTTGAGGTGCTTAGAACCCTGATCTAGAAACAAGATGATCCGAGTTTTGACAAGAATTTGACTATTTAAGTCTTATTAATGATATTATCATTAAAAAATACCTATTACCTAACTAACAAAATTAACGAGCACCCAAATGTTTAACTTCATGAAATCATGTTTTTCTTATTCTACTTATCTCTATCTTGTCATCAGAGTGACGACAAGAGAGAACTTCTCGACTTTCTAAATTATTAGAGCAACTAGAAGATCATATAACCTAAGAATAACTATAAAGTTAATAATTATAATATTACCCCTTGCAATTTGCAGACATCAATTAGTTTTTATAATGTTTTAAAAATGAAAATAATTAATAGTCGTTTTCATAATCAAAACTCCAAAGTTAGTTTGCACATATTCCGTCCTGCTCTTGCTTTTTACATGTGACCTGCCAACCACGCGAGTACATTCCTTCCCTGGTCCCCGCACGCGTACTAGATCCTACTTCACTCGCACGTTTCCATTTACTTCACAATTGTAAAAAAATGGTTGAACCCCAACCTTGAGGGCCCCCCACCACCTCACCTCTAAAGCATTGTGGAGGAGGTAAATTACGGGATGTGCCTCGACAGACAATGATACAAGAGCTGTCATACTGGTACCCATAAATAATCAAATTTCATACCTTATAGGAGAGAAGAATCGAACATTCACACTGCTTCTATCACCTATTGTAGTGTGTCATGTCATCCGAATACTTATAAATTAAGTACTGGTACTTATGAAATCGATCCTATATAAATTACTTATCCTTGATAATGATCATTGCGTTCATGTCGAGAAATTACATATTTTCAAAATAAAACATCATTCTAATAAGAAAACTTTCACATCTAGGCAGAAAATTTCAAATTACTCTCTTTAAATTTTACTTTTCGTCGTCAATAAAAAACCAAAGATAAAGCAACATGTCATCTAGCTAGAAGGAATGAGTGCTTTAAAGACTAATAGTTCTACTTAAAAAGGTTTAACTATGAAACATGATGGTAATTACCAAATTACCAATTATGTATTATTATTATTACTATTTAATTTTTGTAATCAAATCAATATTTAAAATATTTTGCCCACCACATATTTCACCGGCTTCCAGTTGTTGTAACGGTCTTATTTTCCGCTATCTTCCTCTCTCTAAAACCTCTCACTAAACCCCGCTATTCTCTACGTACATATAAATTACCTGCATAACATAACTGAATTCATTCCACTACCCTTTCTTTCTACATTTTCCATATTTCTTACATGAAATTGATCTTAATTAAGGGAACAATTTAGGGTTAAACAAGCTTGAAATTCGTTTGATGATGTGAAATGGTGGCTACTGTAACGTCAAACTCGAAGCTACCTTCACCAAACCCAAAGCGGACGCCATTGCTGCCTTCAGATCCCGGTAATGGAACTTTGCGCCGGCCAAAAGCACGTGAAGTCACTTCTCGCTACTTGTCTGTACAAATTTCGCCTTCTTCCAATTCTTCGTCGTCAAGTTCTAGCACTAGCACGACGTCGTCTTCAAATACTACCGGATCATTGCCGGCAGTCTCGTCGAAAAGGTACCAATCGCCGGTGGTTAGTAGAGCGGGGGTGACGGCGCCGCGGAATACAGAGAGGGCGGTGTCTGTGGATAGGAGGCGGCCGGTGGCTGTGGAGGAAACGCCGTCGAATGCGGAGAGGATGCTGGTGACGTCGATGAGGAGTTTGTCAGTGTCGTTCCAGGGAGAATCGATTTCGGTACCAGTGAGTAAGGCGAAGACTGCGGGAGGTGTGGGGACTCCGGGTGGTGATTTGAGGAAATTTACGCCGGAAAGGAGGAAGTTGACGCCAGCGTCGCCAGTGAGGTACCAGCGGGAGAGGGAGAATTCGAGGCCAAGTGATCAGCAGCAGCACCGCTGGCCGGGGAGATTACGGAGAGACAATTCGAGTTTCTTGACCCAAAGTTTAGATTATGGCGCCGAGAGAACTAAATTGAATGGATCTGGGACTGCAAGCAAAGAATTGAGGAAATCTATGATTGATGACAATAGTAAAAATAAGTTTGGTGTTACATTGAAGCCTGAGAATTGTAATTCTGTGGTTAAAATGACTAATAAAATGGAATTTGGATCAAATCTATCTATTCCAGTGAATTCAGATACTGAGACCGTTTCATTGGAGAGTATTGAGAATGGGAGTATGGCTCAATTGAGAGGAGTGCAACGGGGGGTGGTTGTTCCTGCGCGAGTCTGGCAAGAGCCGAATAGGATTCAGAAAGTACCAGACCCGTATTCACCGAGGTCAAAAACGAGTGGATTGAATAGAACAACAGGTCCTTCAAAATTAATTGGTGCAAACAAAGTTTCGATTGAGAGTCCTGCATCATTTCCTAGGGGATTTTCACCACTTCAAGGGGGCATGAGGCCAGCATCACCGAGTAAGTTGTCTATGACGACTTCTACTCCATTGAGGGGGATTGATAGTCCGTTGAGAATAAGAAATGGAGTGGGGAACGTGTCGAGTGATAATAATGCAAGCAGTATTTTGTCAATGATGACCTTTATCACTGATGTGAGGAGAGGAAAGTTGGGGGAGAGTCGGATTATTGATGCACATGACCTTAGGCTACTGTATAACCGGCAGTTGCAGTGGCGATTTGCGAATGCAAGAGCTGAGAAATCGCTGTTAGTACAGAAAGAGATGGCAGAGGTATTAATTTCCCCCGGTTGTTTTAGCCTTTTAATGAAATCGAAGATAATCAACTTACTGTTCTTATTTTCCCGTGGGAGTGCCTTGCACTATATCATTTTTGGCTCCCTATCACGCGGGGCTTAGATTTATGAGATTGGATATATATAAAAATGGTTAAAGGTTTTTTAGTAGAATTGTTTCTAACTCACCAATAAGGCATAGTTCTAGTTGCTACTTACATAATTGTACACAATACCTCGCTTCTGGATAAGTGCAACCATGTCGAGTCTAACCCACAAGATGTAACACCAAAATTGTTTCCCAGGCTTCTACCTAAACAGGCGGATGGTTCTGTTTACTTCATTTTACACCTCAGAAATAGAGTTGTTATCTTCTAATCCTACATATTTTCTTTGATTTCTCTGTAATAACACAAAAATGAATATAGTAGGGGTCATAGATTCATATAGTCTCATTTTTATAATGTACTTAAGAAGGGATACATATATCTTTTAATTGCATTTATTACTCTTTCATTCCTGGTTCCGAGCTCCTTCCCTCAAATAGAAATCATCCCCTCCAGAACTCAACACTCTCATAATAACCAAAACTCTTCAATCCAGAGCCAAAGAGCTTATGTCGTTTGTTTACATTTTATTGGCTGTTACTGAGAAATCTCTTCCCCATTCCCCATGGACACACACAAATACACCACAGCCCAGTAGAATTCTGTTTTTAACATTCAGTAGCTTTCTTCAAAACTTTTGAAGAAGTCAAGCCTTGATACAGTAACTTAGCAGTTTTATTGTTCATTGTAGTTGTTCCTTGTGGTTAACGTCAATGTAAATTTTCTTTGTGCACAGAAATGGAAGGGAATTCATGTTGATCAGTAAAGGCTTATATTAGAGCATATCCTAGATACTCTTTATTTATAAAGAGCATCTTAAGCATAATAGAGTGCATCTTTGATTTTAGAGAGAATTTTTATTTATTTATTTTTCATAGACTCCAACGATGCTCTTTATTTCACTCTTCATTTTGCTTTTCTCAAAAAATATTTATTGATTGCTCCTCATATTTTATTTTAACATATTTTTTTATACGTCAATGTCCAATCAATACAAATGTCATTGTAATGATTTAAGAAGTAGAGTATTGAATATGTTATTAAATGAAATCATTGTAAATTAAGAATAGAGAGCGAGTTTGGGTCTCCAATTTTGGAGAGTTAAACCCACTTTCTATTTTAAAAAGTTAAAATGGAGAGTCTTTTGGAGCTTATTTTTTTGCATTAACTCTCTAAAATAGGGAGCATCTTGTATTTATAGAATATCTTGGAGATACTTTGAATACTTGACTCTGACTCATAGGAAATGAGAGATGAGTTTTATTCAAGGGAGCCTATATGTGGAATTTCACAAACTAAATGAGGGACCGAGTTATATAATTTTTTATTGTGCTAATGGATGACAATCAGGTTGAGATGGATCTTATATAAACCACATTTAGGCTGTTCAAGTGTCTGTTGATGGATATATTTTAAGCATAGATTTGTTTTGGAACCAAAGACAAAACTAGAGAGCTCTATTTCCAGTTGATCAAACATGTCTTTCAGGTCAAATTAATTCTTCTCTGTATGGAGATTATGGTCTGATGATAATACTTGCACTTACTTATACAGACACATTTTGCTTTTCACTTGATGATTGATAATGCACATGCCATCACTCTTGCTGTCTGTAAACGCTATCGGCTCCTTAATATCTTTCTGTGGGGCTAGATTACAGAAATGGTATTCATTTCTCTGAGATGTTACCTTGTTCTTTTTGATTGGTTACTGATTTGGATTTTTGATGTAGTATTCTGTGCAAAAGAATTTTAATTTCTACGTTCTCATTACACCAGAGAAGTCTATATAATGCATGGATATCTACTACCAAAATGCGACGTTCTGTCAAGTTCAAGAGAATTGAATTACAATTATTGAGACATAATCTGATGCTATATTCCATCCTAAAGGGACAGGTGAGACAGTTTTTCTCTAATGAGTTCAATTTCAGTATCTCTATTATTTACCTCTAAGCATTTTATATATTTTTCAGATTCAATCTAGTTGAACTCTATTGGAAAATTATTTCTCAAATACTCCTCTATCTACTTTATATGTCAAGGTCTGCTGCATGTCACTTTCTCTATACAAATTTTCAAGGTCTGATTTGATCTATTATGCATATATGCGGATTGCTTACTATAAGGCTATGTATCATTCAAATTAACTTCTGTTCAAGTGGGATGTTTCTGTTGATGCATCTACTGGGCCACATGAGTAGTCTTTCAGTTCCTTCATAGTCTGTTAAAAAGTCTGTCTCTTCATGTGCTTGTGTTTGAATCAGGATTGCTTCCACATCCCATCCCCCACCCAAAACTTGTTTTGAGTAATCTTTGCCGACAATCTGTAGTTGACTGCCTCTAAGTTCATATTTCTCAACAACTCTAGAATAACTTCACAATTTAAGTAACGGATTCAAGATACATGTAATATGGTAAACATTTATTGAGTATTTAGTCGGTACTTTTTGAATGCAGGAACCATATTTAGAAAAATGGGATCTGATCGATGTAGATCACAGCAATGCAGTATGTGGTGCTAAAGAGGCATTAGAAGCCAGCATTATCCGCCTTCCTGTTGTCGCTGGTGCAAGGGTATGCTAGTGCTATTTCCTAAACATTTCAGTTGTTGCCTCCTGGCCAACTTAGCATGTGCAGGACTTAAAAAAAGAGCTTTCTGTTTCCTTTTCTTGGTTTCTGTACGTGCAGGCTAATGTGCAGAATGTAGAAGAGGCCATTTCTTCAGCAGTTGATGTCATGCAAACAATGGCATCTTCAATATGCTCTTTGTTAACAAAGGTGATTCCTCTTTTAAACTGGATAAACGAAATGAGAATATATATATATATATATATATATATATATATTATTATTATTTTTTTTTTGTGTCATCTGGCATATTTACGGTCTGTTTTGAACCTACAAGAGTTCCTCCAGGCCAAAATTTGAACAAGGTTGAACCAGTTCTCTTCACTCATTACAATTGCCAAACTTAAGTAAATTAGTTCCCATGTGTGCTCACTAAACTGGTTTCAAGCTTGCCAAATGCCAAGTGCTACCTTGAATTTATTCTCAAATTTGATCAAGTATAGATCTCAAGCATGACATCTAGTATTGTTGCAAATTGCACAAAAACATTATCAATTCTCAGGTTGGCATTGATTCTTCTACTAATCATAGAAGATGATTTTTTATTTTTTTTAATGTTAATACTACTTCGTTATGCATTAGAAAAGCCTTGGATGTACAACAAGCAATGTGATCTAAACTTAATGAACTGTTGCAGTAAATTTTCTGTCCCCCCCCCCCCCCCCCCCCCCCCCCCCCCCCCCCCCCACCCCCCCCCCCCCCCCCCCCCCCCCCCCCCCCCCCCCCCCCCCCCCCCCCCCCCCCCCCNGCAATGTCTATCTTTGCTTGTAGGTTTATGTTTTAAGGATAATCTGGGACTTAGACTTTATGAAGACAATGCTTAACTTTTCTTTCCTCCACTTCATCAAAAAGAAATTAATTTTCTGATAACAATACGTGGTTTTATGCCATTGCAAATCTCATTGGAAAGTTGGAACCTCAAAACTAGTTGTCATAGCATTTGAAAAATGTCTGCAAATACAAATCTATATCTCCAGTTGAACTGGATTGGAGTGTCCACTGGTGGATTCAGGATCGGTGATAACATATAATGTGATTCTGATCAAAGGGGAAACATTTTATTAATTGGAATACATATTTCGGATGGTGTTAACTTGAATTGAGATCTCTTACCCTGTATGATTTGGATTTTTTCTTTTTTGAGGTAATGGAACCAGAATTATTGCTTTCCGATAATTTCACCTTTCTGTTTTACATCTATTGAATTATTTGCACCCATAGGTTGAGCAGATGAACTGTTTGGTTTGTGAACTTGCCAACCTAAGCGCAAGAGAGCACAGTTTACTTGATGAATGCAAAGATTCATTGTCAACAAGATTCCTACCCTTGCAGGCAAGTTTAAAGTGCAAAAAATTATTGAGTTCGAGCATGTTCTCCTTAGCTTCAAAGGTTTACTTAATTAAGTTTATAAGTAAGTTTATATATAAATAATTTTTTAATGTTATCAAAATTAGAATTAAGTTACTCATTTCGTCAATAAACTAAGAGTGTATTTCAAGAAATTAGATAACTTTTCCACTTAAGAAAAGAGTAACTTATATGATTATTTTGGAATAAAGAAGTTACTTAAAAAATATCTTTGACTTGTGTTTAAGCTTAGCTAAACATGCTGGACATGAGTATGCCTTTGAAGATGATTGGTTTCTGTAGAAAATTCTGCACAGCACTAACACGAAACATCGTACCAGGTGATGCATTGTAGCCTAAGGATCCAGTTATTACAATTACAACGTGTACATGCAAGTTCAACAAAGGAACTGTAAGGGCGATCTCATTTTTACTGCTGGCCTGAAATATTAACATCTTCAGTAGCTGCTCCTTTGTTTCCAGCACAAAGAAAGAGATGGTCAGGAAAGTATTTCATCCTTGTCTTGGGTCGAAATGCCACAGAATGGCCGGATTCACAGAAATCAGGTCCAAAATGTACTTTTATGCACATATGGTAGGAAGTCTTCTTACTTAACAGGAAATTCAGATTGTATACAGGGCTTATTCTTATTGATTGTTCTCTGCACAGTGTTGTTTGGTCATGTTGGATTGTGCTTATGAGGCTTGTTTCATACACATTATTGGACGTGATTGGGTATTACTCTGATCAAGGGTTTAATTTCATCTTTTATCTTAATATCGTCGAGTTATGATCCTTCTTATAAAACAAGTTAATGTCTTCTCAATTTTGTCAATTGTTCAGCATATATTTATTTATTTATGTTCTTGTGGATTTGATTAGGGCATTCTCAAGTCGACACAAAATACAAAGTATACATTTGGTGCTGCATATTAGGCAGGATAAGGATTAATTTAATCCTCTATGGCATTTGGTAAAATTAATACCCGGAATAAATTTAATCCAAAATGCTTATCCGCCCTTGGTCAATTGTAAAAGTTAATATGCTTTATAATTGAACAAATAATATAGAGCAAGTTGTTATTTCTTTAAGATAATATAATTAATAGTCAAAGTCTCTTATTGGACAATTTCACCTTGTTAAAAGGTTGATCATATATTCCCTTTTTTTAAAATTGAGCATTGACCTCATAACATCGATTCTAATGTAATCATGGTGAATTTGAACATTTGATCTCTTTATAACTATTTTTATTGTTCTTGATTGTTTTCAACATTATTGAGTGTGATGGCTTGATTTACTGTGAAATTAATACATTGTGCGTTTGGTATTGATTACCGTTGGAATTGATTTTATATAATTTGAATTCTTTCATATTTGTTGTTGAAAAACCTTCAAGTTTTTTGTCAACTACTTAAAACTCTGTGTTTCTTAACTCGGGGATTTTAATGGGAAAAGAAATTTGGATTAATAGTAAAGGAAGACTTGCGCTTAGAGCAATTGGATATAAAAACAGTCTTTCTTCATGGTGATTTGGACAAAGAAGTTTACATGATATAACCACAAGGATTTGCAGTACTGGAAAATGAGAAAATGGTATGCAAACTTTAAAAGAGTTTATATGATCTAAAACAAGTTCCAAGACAGTGGTGTTTCAAGGGCATTATTGTTGTTGTAAAGAATCTTGATAACTCCTATAATATCTTGTTGTTGTATGTTGATGACGTGTTGAGTACTTAAGCAAGAAATTGATAAGTTGAAATATGAGTTATCTAAGGAGTTTACAATAAAGGACTTAGGTGTTGCAAAATAATTATTGAGATTAGAATTACTAAGGACAATAACGTATGGAAATTGTTTCGGGATGGATGATGAAATATCAGTTAGTATTCATTTAAATAGTCAATTCAGGCTATCAAATGAGCATTCACCCTCCATAGAGCAAAAGCAAGCCTACATGGCCAAGGTAGCTTATGCTTCTAATATTGACGGTCTTATGTATGACATGGTATGTACAAGATCGGATATAACACATGCAATAGGAGTTGTGAGTAGAGATATATGAGCAATCTAGGCAAACAAAATTGGAAGGCAACAGAGTGGATTCTTAGATATTTGAGAGGCACTTCAGATTTAGTATTATAATTCAGAAAATCAGATTTTGGATTACATGCTACGTAGATTGTGACATGGCAGAAGATATTGATGTCATGAAGAGTACTACTGGATATGTATATACTTTGGGCGGTACAACAATTAGTTGGGTGTCTAAGTTGTAGAGATAGTCGTTCTTTCCACTATTGATACTGAGTATGTTGCTATAACTGAAGCTAGCAAAGAGATGATATGGTTGAAGTCTTTTTTTAGAAGAATCGAGTCACAAGCATAGGAAGAGTGTTTTGTATTGTGATAGTCAAAGAGTTATTCACTTAACAAAGAATAATGTTTATCATGCAAGAACAAAGCATTTACAAGTCCATTATCATTTAGTAGATCGATTTTGGAAGATGGAATATTAACACTTGAGAAGATTCAAGGAAGTCAAAATTCAACTATCATGTTGACGAATATTGTCCAATCGAGAAACTAAAGTTGTGTGCAACGTCGGCATGACTTATCTTTTCAGGAATGAAGAGTTATTGTCACTATAGAGTAGTCATTGATGGTGAATTAGTTTCCAAGTTGGAGATTGTTATGTTGTCGAACATAATTATTGTCACTTTGTTTTGTATAATTTTATCGTATAAATAGGGAGCCGTCCAATTGGTCACAACCTCAACCTTGGATTGATCCATATTTGTAACTCCCACCGTACAATATGACCTAGAAACCCTATTTGATCTAGCCAAAATTTACATTTCTTGAATTTGGCATACAACTTCTCCTCAAACAGGGTCTCCAAAACTATCCTCAAATGTTCTTGTTGCTGAGAATCTCTCGAGTATATTAGTATGTCGTCAATAAATACGATGACAAACATGTCCAAATATTGATGGAACACTTTATTCATCAAGTCCATAAATACCACAGGGGCATTTGTCAGGCCAATGGGCATCACGGTAAATTCATAATGCCATATCGAGTCCTAAATGCCATCTTTGGTATATCAATTGACTTAATCTTCAGTTGATGGTAGCCTGACCTCAAATCCTTTTTTGAGAACACAGATGCACCCTTAAACCGATCAAACAGATACTCAACCCTAGAAAAGTGATACTTGATAGTCAACTTATTTAGTTCACGGTAGTCAACGCACAACCTAATAGTACCATTTTTCTTCTATACAAAGAGTATCGAAGCCCCCCATAGAGATATAATCGATCTGATAAACCCTTTGTCTAGAAGTTCCTCCAACTGCATCAACTCTTTTAATTCTTTTTGTACCATTCGATACGGGGCCTTGGATACATGAGTAGCTCCAGGTACCAAATCTATCATGAATTTCACTTGTCTATCGGGTGGAATACCAGGTAGATCATCCGAAAACACATCAGCGTACTCCTGTATTATTAGCACATTATCTAATACTATCTCTTGAGATGAGGTGCTAGTATGATTGACAAGATACCCTTAACAATCATGCTTCCTCAATATGATCTCTACCTTCAAAGCTAAGATGATGCAGGAAAGTGCATTATCTTTGATCCATAAAATCTGAACTCCTCTTCTCTTAACCTTCAAAAAATTACCTATTTCTCAAAACATACTACCGTGGCTCGATTACTACCTAACCAGTCTATACCTAAAATAACATTAAAATCTTTCTTCTCTACAACATACAGGTCGACATCTAATGTTGGTCCTTCAAAATTTATCTATGCCTTCTTTGCTGCCTTATCTATACCAATAGTTTCTCCTTATGGCATACTAACCTCTAGTACACTATCACTAGTACTAGGTCTATCATGAATTCCACTTGTCTATGGGGTGGAGTACTCGGCAGATCATCGGGAAACACGTCAGCATACTCTCGTACTATTGGCACATCATCTAATACTTTCTCCTAAGATGAGGTGCTAATAAGACTCACAAGATACCCCTGACAATTAGGCTTCCTCATCATACTCTCGGCCTTTAAAATGGAGATGATGTGAGGAAGTGCCTTAATCTTCGATCCATAAAATCTGAACTCCTCTTCTCCCAGTCTTTTTAAAATTACCTTCTTCTCAAAACATAAAATAGTGGCTCGATTTTTACCTAAATAATCCATACCTAATATAATGTCAAAACCCTTCATCTCTATAGCATACAAGTCGGCCTCTAAAGTCAATTCACCAAAATTTTTTTTTACCCCCTTTACTACCCAATCTGTATCAATAGTTCCCCCTGATGGCATACTAACCTCTAGTACACTATCACTTTTATAACATGAAACATTAATCTTTACTAGACATGCACTAAATATGAACAAATGAATCGCACCATAATCAATAAGAACATAAACATGAATACTAGAGACATATATAATACTTGTAATGACGTTTGTATTTTGGGCAGCCTCCTCCTAAGTCAATTCAAACACCCTTAATTTTCCTTTCGTCTCCTGCTTGGGTTTCTTAGTCAATGGGCATGAAGGGTCTACATGGCTTGGTTAGCTACACTTATAGCAAATATACTTCCCATACAAACATTCTCTTCTATGAAACTTGTTACACTTAGGACATTGGGTAAATGATTGCCTGGCTGGCCTGCATATGTCTGCTTCTTAAATTGTCCAGTATCCGTATTCTTATCCTACCACTTTCTTTTTTCGAAGTCATTACATTATCCTTGATTTATCGACTTCGTCCCCAACTAGGTCACCATCTGAGCTTTCTTCACCGCTGCCTGAAAGGTGGTGAGATCGTATGAACTCACAATCTGCTTGATCTCTGGGCACAGGCCCATCTCGTAATGTCTTGCCTTCATGAGTTCAGCACTTACAAGGTGTAGGGCATATCGAGAACTTGATCTTCTACTTAGTAATCTCCATATCTCCTTATACCAATCTTAAGAATTATGTCTCCTTATAGTCTTGCAGAGCTTGCAAGAAGTAATTTTCTGTTAGCTTCATCTTAAATTGAGTCCAAGTTAGTAATACCTCTTGATTTTTTGGACAATAGATGTGCATGAAGATCTTCTCAATGGTACGGAACCACTCCTCAGTTGCCAGAAGGTCTTTCCCGCCATCCAAAGTAAGGAGTCGATATCTGCAAAAATATTTTACCGTCGGAATAAGTGGTGCAGCTGAGTATGTTGGTGGCATCGGCGGTAGCAGGGGGCTGGTAGAGCCTAAGATGCTGGAGGTGTAGCTTAAGCAACCAAGGCCTGATTCAACTCATCGATCTCCCGCCTTAACTCCCTAATTGTCTTCGTTTGCATCATATTACCAAAATAATTGTAATCTCATTTAGAGGAGTCAACGATACTTTGCA